CAAGTTTTGGGGGGAAATACAGAAAAAAATTTATTCCCCCAGGCCTTGTGGGCAAAGAGAGCGTCTCTCCCGTCTCCCACCTTCATATCAGGTCGGACAGGAGAGCGCACTGGTCCCCTGCCCGGGTGGTGCGGCAGCGGGGCAAGCGCTCTTCCCCGCCGTCGCTCCAAACCATTCACAGCGGATGCGGCGTTCCGCCCCTCGTCCCCACCTGTGGGCTGCTGGCCTCTGAAGCCTGAGAGCGAGAGGGTTGGCACAACCGCTCTCGCTCTCAGGCTTTGAAAGCCTGCATTCGCCCATCACCCGACATTCCCTCATTTTTGAGGGAAAAAGTGCTCTAAGGCAACATAGTACTTGTTGATGCAAATGCATTAGGTTTTTTGCTGCTGCATCACGCAGTAAAAAAAAGCTAATTCCATTCTAGGCTGCATCAACAGAAGCCTAATGTCCAGACTAAGGGAAGTCATAAAAAGGTAAAGGTAAAGGACCCCTGACAGTTAAGTCCAGTTGCAGATGACTCTGGGGTTGCGGTGCTCATCTCGCTTTACAGGCCGAGGGAGCCGACGTTTGTCCGCAGACATTTTTTCTGGGTCATGTGGCCAGCATGACTGAGCCGCTTCTGGTGAAACCAGAGCAGCGCACGGAAATGCCGTTTACCTTCCCGCTGGAGTGGTACCTATTTATCTACTTGCATTTTTTTTTTTTGCGTGCTTTCGAACAGCTAGGTTGGCAGGAGCTGGGACAGGCAGGAGCTCACCCCATTGCAGGGATTCGAACCGCTGACCTTCCCATCAGCAAGCCCAAGAGGCTCAGTGGTTTAGACCACAGCGCCACCTGCATCCCTAGGGAAGTCATAGTCCCACTCTATTCTGCCTTGGCCCATCCTGTGTCCAGTTCTGGGTGCCACAATTTAAGGATGTTGACAAGCTGGAACGTGTGCAGACCCCGAGGGCAACCAAGATGACCAAGGGTCTGGAAACCAAGCCTTATGAGGAACGGCTGAGGGAATTGGATATGTTTCGCCTGGAAAAGAGGAGATTGAGAGACAATGCAATAGCCATCTTCAAATAACCGAAGGGCTGTGACATGGAAGATGGAGCAAGATTCCTGAATTGTAGGGGGTAGAAGTGAATGACCATTGGGGTCCCTTCCAACTCTATGACTCCTCCTGCATGAATTTGTCCAATACTCTTTTAAAAGCATCAAAGGAAAAGTCAGGCATAGATAATAAATAAATACACAAACCAGTCAGCTAGGTTTGCAGAGGAGGCAGGGCTTTGGTGGCCCACCTGGTCCAACTGATCTGAGACTTGCGGCTCTTGGGAGAAGGGGCAGCGGGGTTGAACTGAGGTTTTTTGGAAGCGGCAGCGTGTTTTCCCGCCCCACTCCAGGGCTGTTTCACCCTTGTTTCACTTTGCAAAAAGACCCCACATTTCAGCAAACATCTGAGGGACCTGCAAGCTAACTGAGCGGTCAGGTCTTAAAACTGCTTAACAAGCGCGCCAGTAAAAAAGCACACAACACTCACAAAACCTTGCACATATTTCGAAGTTAAGCTTTGAAGCTTCGGCATAAAATATTTACACCACATCAGAGGGTGGTTCAAAGAGTCTCCCCCACATTAAAATAAATAAATATTTCAAATCGAGTTATTGGGTAGGTTTATGCAGCATTAGTACAGGGTGCTAAAATTAAAATATGGCATTTTTTTTTAAAAAATGGTTGTTTACTAAATATTGCAGTCATGCTAAATTGGATGAGGGTTGCTTTAGGGCAGCCTCCTGCTTCCTCTGCAGAAGCTTTGGACTACAGCGCTCATGAGTCTGAAGCATCTGGAGAGGGCGCCAGGTTGCAGAAGACTGGTTTAGGTTATCAAAGAAAAGAATCAGGTTTGCTGGAAAACCCAGCATTGCTAGTGTGATCTCAGGCCTCACCTTGAGGCAAGTAACGGAAATACGGCTACCCAAGATCGCCTGTTCCTATTGGGCAGGCAGTACGGCACCTCCGGATTGGTCAGTCCTGGTATAAAGACAAGGATGCTGACATCCCTGACTTTTGCTCACTCAGAAGGCTCTGAGAGTTGCCCACAAAAGGTGCCACCAAGCCCGGATTCCACTGGGGCCCTGTTGGCACGACAGAAAGAAAGTACAGAGATGCCCACTTATGCCAAGCGGTGTTAGAACAGCAACACCACTCAGTCCGTCTCTCTCCCTGCAAACATACAGGGAGGCGGTTTGTTTATTCTGCCAAGGCTGCTTTGCCAGAAAGCCTGTTTGTTTGCTGCCAGAGCCTTGGCCCTACCAGGCTAGTCAGCCAGCCTCCTAGGGAACAGGCACCGGCTCCTCAGACACAAACGCCGGGTAGTGGGTGAGGCATGTCTGGACTGCAAGACCAGCGCCCAAAGTTTTCTAGGAGACAGCACAGAACCCCCCCCAACGCACACACTCACATGCTTGAAATGTGAAGTTTGTGGCAAGGCACCACAGAGCCTAGGCTTGCTGATCAGAAGGTCGGCGGTTCAAATCCCCAAGACAGGGTGAGCTCCCATTGTTTGGTCCTAGCTCCTGCCCACCTAGCAGTTTGACGTGCAAGTAGATAAATAGGTACCACTCCAGTGGGAAGGTAAACGGCGTTTCCGTGAGCTGCTCTGGTTCGCCAGAAGAGGCTTAGTCATGCTATCTACAGACAAACGGTGGCTCCCTCGGCCAGTAAAGCGAGATGAGCGTGCAACCCCAGAGTCGTCCACGACTGGACCTAATGGTCAGGGGTCCCTTTACCTTTCCCACTCCTAAGCCATACCGATATGGTGCACATTTCTCTCTCTCTCTCTCTCTCTCTCTCTCTCTCTCTCTTTATTTGGACCATTTGTTGGAAGATTCAGGACAGAGAAAGGAAGCCCTTCTTCACCCAGCACATAGTTCAACTGTGGAACTCACTCCCGCAGGAGACAGTGGCAGCAGGGAGTGCCAAAGTGCAGGTGCTGCCGCACTAAAAAGAACAATTCCTTACAAATGCACAACAGTTGTTATGCCACAGCTGCACTGGTGCCAGTTCCGCAGAGCAAAGCGGTCGACTGGGCACATATGGGGTGTATGTGTAAGGAGATCTTGCAAGTCATTATGGCATTAAAGCTTTCGTAAACTGGAGCCTGCTTCATCAGATGTGCGAAGCGTTGCCCTCAGCTGATGACCTTCCAGCAGCAACCGCAAATCGCAATGGTGTTTGACAGACTGATCCCAATTCCGGGCGCGGGACAAATGAGCGGGCAATTTTTGCTCCCATTCCCATCAGATTCTCCGAGAATTCTCGCCTAAGACAACATTTGCAGTCAGGTTTTCACCTATTTGGGCTGACCGCTGGCGCCCTCCGGTGGTTAGACTGCATAACTAACGCAGGGGTGGGGAGCACAGGAAATCCTGATAGCAGAGCCCCATTGAAGACAAGCAAAAAATAAACTCCAAACGTCAATTCCTGCCGTCCTTCCCCGCTAACCAGTCTCCAGTGATAGGAAGTTCTAGGGTAGTTGTTCCACAACTTTTCTGGGGCACTGCCCACCCTTGTTTCTATAAACTCACCCCCAGCGTCCTCTACCCTATAGAAAGCATTACAGTGGTGCCTCGCAAGACGAAATTAATCCGTTCTGCGAGTCTCTTCGTCTTGCGGTTTTTTCGTCTTGCGAAGCACGGCTATTAGCGGCTTAGCGGCTATTAGCGGTTTAGCGGCTTAGCGGCTATTAACGGCTTACTGGCTATTAGCGGCTTAGCGGCTATTAGCGGCTTAGCGGCTATAAGAAAAAGGAAACAAACTCGCAAGAACTCGCAAGACGTTTTCGTCTTGCGAAGCACCTCAAAAAACGAAAAACCCTTTCGTCTAGCGAGTTTTTGTCTTGCGAGGCATTCGTCTTGCGGGGCACCACTGTATTCAGAATTTGCACAACCCACTTAAGGGAGATAATAAAACAGTAAAATTCAAAACGGAAGCAACTGATTGCACATTTTTTTCAAAATCTAATTAGAATTTAATTAATTCAACAAAACTGACAAACCTGATCCAGCGATACCAGCTTTTTCAAAGCCTGGTGGTCATTTTTACTTCCTGAGACAGTTAACGGGTGTGTTTTTTTGGTGGTTGGGGGGAGGGGTTAAGATATCCACTTACTTGCACATATGCATCTAACACGTCATATGCCAGGCAAACACTCAAAAGGCTGCTGGTGTTCAAAGCAGCATTAGCCATGCTCCCCACACCAAAACAACAGGGCACACACACCCCACACACAAAGCACCTTTAAGTCAGCTGCAAAAACTCAGAATAATTTCTCCTTTCAACAGCTACCTTAGGAACATGGGCCTTACAGTGAGGCCACATTCATACCATGCATTTAAAGTGCCACTTTAAAGCAATCATGGCTTCCCCCCAAAGAATCCTGGGAGTTGTAGTCGGTTCCGGGTGCGGAGAGTTGTTTGGGGACCTCCCCACTTCCCTTACCACACAGCTACAATTCCCAGAGTTCCCTGGGAAGAGGGACTGGCTATGAAACCACTCTGGGAACTGTAGCTCTGCGATGGGGGAACAGGGAGTCTCTGAACAGCTCTTCTCAGCCTTAACGAACTACAACTCCCAAGATTCTTTGGGGGAAGCCATGACCGATTAAAGTGGTATCATAGCTCTTAAACGTATGGCTTGTGCGTGGTCTTGGCGCCGGTGTGACTTCCCCCAAGGAAACTTGGGAGCTGTAGTTTGTTAAGGGGAACCCTGACTCCCCAGGCTACCATCCTCAGGAGAGTTTCAACTGTCAGTCCTTCTTCACAGGGAATTGTAGTTCCAATAGGTACTTGCTGGCAGCATTCTGCCCCGCCCAGCCTTGGATCCCCCACATTCTCCCCATTAAATTCTCCCCCAGATGAGCTTATCGCTGCAATGAAAAGCGAGTTGCAAGAGGGTTGCCTTAGCTTCTGGCTGGAGACCCCACACCCACCTTTCATCACCCCTTGCCCTACCTGAGGCAGGCCGCAGACGGTTCTCAGCCAGCTCGGAGATGGCCCCCGTGGTGATGGTCTTCTTCAGCCGGGAGCCTCCCGAGGCTGCCATGACGCCTGGCTTTGTGAGCATGTCTTCGCTGCTGGCTCTCTTCAGCTGCAAGAGAGGAGAGGGTCAGAGCGCTTTGGAGCCGAGATGGGAGGAAGAGGCATCAGCTTAGATTTCCCAAATGCCCATCCCTGCAGGGCCTTCTTAGCTGTGGCCACCAGGGAGGGCTGGATTAGTAGTCCAGGGCCCGGTGGCACGGCTGGATCGAGGCCTTTAGAGTGACCCAGGCTTTGGGTGAGTGGGGGAGCCATGACTGTTTAAAGTGGTATCAGAGTGCTTTAACTGGAGAGTGCAGATGCAGACCCTCCAAGTCTCCCTATTTTCCAGGGACAGTCCCGGATTTACAGAAGCCGTCCCGGTTTCTGATTTGATCCAGGAATGTCCCACTTTTCCTTCGGACTTCCCTGTTTTCATTTGAGGAATGTTGGCAGGTATGGAGCCATGCGACCCCTGAGTCAAGGAGATAAGTAACTACAAAACTTTTAGAAGAAATCTGAAAGCAGCCCTGTATGGGGAAGTCTTTTTTAATGTTTTTTAATGTTTAATGTTTTATTATGTTTTTATATATGTTGGAAGCCGCCCAGAGTGGAAGGCCTACCCAGTCAGATGGGCAGGGTACAACAATAATAGTAATAGTAATAGTAGTAATAATAATAATAATAATCAGTGCTTTTTTTCTGTGGGTACACATACCCCTAAACATTTTGTGAATCTTTGTACTTTTGTCCATTTACTGTATTTATTTCCCCCCAATTTGAACTATAAAATGGTGATTTTCTTCAGTCAAAATGTGAGTACCCCTAAACATTTTTTTTAGAAAAAAAGCTCTGATGATGATGATAATAATAATAATAATAATAATAAATAATAATAATGATAATAATAATAATAGAATAGGATGTCCCTATTTTCATTGGAGAAATATTGGAGGGTGTGTGGCCTTGATTTAGCAACCCTTTCCTTCTCCACTCATCCACTCATAGCCATCAAGGACTTGACCTCATTTGCCCCCCATGACGGGGACACCTGGAAAACTTCAATCCCACCTGACAGACCACAGGGCTCTCTCTTTGAAGCAGGAGATTTAAGCACCTCTTTTCAAAAAAGAAAAGAAAAGCAATAAAAGGAAATAATAATAATAATGAACCAAGGCTCGCTCCTCCAGAGAACGATTTCACCAAACAGCCAGAGACGCAGGAGGGGAAATTAAAAAACCAGGCTCTGGAGTTCTGCGGCTGCTGCAGCGACGGCATCAAACCGCTCCTTCCCTCCCCATTCCAGGCCATCGCCTTCCTTTCATCTCTTGGGCCAACTCACAAAAATGTGGGGTTTGCAGGCGCAGCTGGAAGGCAGCCGCCTCTCTGGTAGCCTAGCCACTGACTGGCTGAAGGGAGAGAGACATCTGAAGGGTTTGAGGTCTTTGGCACGGCTTCTCCCGCAGCTCAGGGCTGGCTTGCCTTTTTTGTGGGGTGGTGGGAGGGAGAAGAAAGGGGAGCTGACTTCCTGACCTTTACGCTTCTGGAACCAGTCTCTGCGCAAAGCTCTGATGTCCCGTAACAACCTCCCTCTTTTGTTTCCAAGGAGCTTTGGTTGAGCGAAGCTCCACGATTTGACGCTTCCTGCTGCCAGCACGGGATTTACGGCCGAGCGGAGGGTTTAGCAAGTGTCTAGACCTCAAGACAGGAGGGGACGACCAGCCCGAAACCCACCTTGCTGAGCCGGGAGTCGAAGGCGAGGGAGGTGGATGACTTGGAGGTCTTCATGCCGATGGGGGCGGAGGGCAGAGGTTTCCCTCGTTCTGTCCCATGGCACCCCTGCTTGGAGAGGGCCGTGCTCCACGGCCTGGTGGCCCCCTTCATCTTCCTTCCAGGTGGGGAGTCAGTCTGCAAAAAAAGGAAGAGGGAATGAGGAAAGGGAGGCAGGGGGAAAGCTCCTGCTAATGGTCCCAGTGCAGATTTGTTTTTGGGTTTTTTAATTGGAAATTTTATTTACAACATAAACCCCCCACCTCCCCAATACAGAAATCCACCCTCATTAAACGTGAACATAACATACAATAAGCATAACATACAACAATACAAACAACCAAATAAAAGACTTCCTTTATCCTGATCTAGCCTCTTATAAGCTGTTTCCTTTATGAATAATTATAAAGATTTTTCTAATTATAACTTAAATATCCACAAAGTCTCCTGCAGACATTAATCGAAACAAGTCCAGGTATGTATTTTAGGGCGCTGTTTTGTGAAGTATTCTCTGCATTTCCCCCATGCTTTTTGAAACTGTTGTCTAGTGTGATCTCTAACTGCCTCTGTTAATCTAGCCAATTCAATATACTCTAACAGTTTGTCTTGGTATTCCTTTTTTGTTGGCACAGTTTCTTTTTTCCAGTTTTTAGCAGTTAAGATCCTTGCCGCTCCTGTGGCACAGAGGAATATTTTCAGTTCCAGTGCAGATTTGGAACAGCTTTACACATACTAATTTAGATGCATAGGGGTATTGATTCCTGCATTGCAGGGGGTTGGGATGGATGACCCCCAGGGTCCCTTCCAACTCTAGAATTCTGTGATTCAAAATACAGAAGTAACTGTGATGATCGGAGCAGATGTGCAACACATTTTCCGCTGCACATCATCCAAAACAGGAACGGGAAAGGGTATGATTTTGAATATACTTTACATGCACTAATTTAAATGTCTTCTTTTTTTTATTACTATTATGGTTTAGTTCTCCTTGTGAAAGGTTGCCGGCTTCTCATGCCCACCTTTAAGGACTGAAAACCTTTTTGCTGCACCAGGCTTATGCAGGCAGTTAAAAAAATCCTTCCACAATCATTGACCCTTGTGTGGTTTTTATTGTATGGTTTTAGGTTTTATTGCTCAAAACTGATTTAATTTTTAAAAATGGCATAGTGGTATATAAATATTTTTAAATGAATAAATATATTCTTTAAGAAAACACTTTGAGGGTTTCTTTTTCTTGCTACGGTATATAGAAAATGTATAAAACAAATGAAATAAAATGTATATTGTAAAGTTCTATATTAATGTATAATTCTTATATAAAATTTTGATTCATATATTTCTGCTTGGCTACAACCCGTATTTGGTTGCCTTATTCCCACAGTTGAAATGGTACGTATAAATGCATTTTATTTACTTCTTTGTTGCAGGTAATACTCCACCTTTTCCTCCAAGGAGCTCAAGGAGGTGAGTACATTGCTCCCTTCCCCAATTTTATTCCCACAACAACCCTGTGAGGTAGGGCTGGGCTGGGAGAGGCAGTGGCTGGCCCAAGTGAGCTTCATGGCTGAGTGGGGATTCGAACCCTAGTCCGACACGCTAACCATTGCACCACACAACCACAGAAGCAGTAGCAATTATTTGAATAGAAATACCTTCCAGCGCACCATCATGTGCCCACGTGACCTTTGTGTATCGATGTACCTGTTCATTTCAGATGCCCAGGTGCAATTTGAAACCCGCCCACCCTGCAAAGCAGACATTGTCTCCAGGTAGAGTAGGACATGGGGACAGCTTGCTGAGCCCCTTTCTCCACCCCACTCCTTGGCAGAGTTAGAGAACATCTGGCGCAGTCTGACGCAGCATCTGGAAGAGATATTCCACATGTTCTCTGATCCCTCTCTCTTCACACAGAGAACATCACAAAAGGATCACAAGAGTGATTTTCAGCTGCCACAGTTTTAGAAGGCCCCCCCTCAACAGTAGCCCCCGCAAAACTGGAGGGACGAGAGGCCTTGAATTATCACTCAGGCACAAACTCTGCAGGCAAGAAGGTTTGTTTGTTTATTTATTGCTTTTGCATCCTGCCTTTTCTACTCTGAGGAGGTCAAGGTCGCGTGTACGCTCTTCCCCTTCCTCATTTACTCCCCACAACCACAGTGCAAGGTAGGTTAGGGTGGAAAAAGGCTGTAAGTGGCCCATAAGCTTCGAGACTGAGTGGTGTGTCTCCCAAGTATACGTTAACACTGTCATGTAAAGTCCTAAATGACTGGGTTCCCCAACAGTCAAAGGGCCGTCTCCTTCCATGTCAGTCTGCCCAGGGGTTAAGATCAGCAGAAGAGACCCCCCTTGGCATCACCCTCTGTGGTTTGAGGGGTGCTGGAGCATGGCACCAAGGCCTGGCTGAAGAGGAATGTTTTTGCCTAATAGTATATAGTGGTACCTCTGGTTGCGAACAGGATCCGTTCCGGAGGCCCTTTCGCAACATGAAAAGAAAGCAACCCGCAGCGGCACGTCTGTCCACGCGCAGGTTGCGATTCGCCGCTTCTGCGCATGTGCGTGACGTCATTTTGCGTGTCTGTGCATGCGCGAGAGGCGAAACCCGGAAGTAACCCTTTCTGGTACTTCTGGGTCGCCGTGGGACATAACCTGAAAGAACGTAACATGAGGTATGACTGTACAATGAAGGCGCCATGTGAGCCTCCCTGGGGAGAGCATCCCACAAATGGGGAGCCACCACAGAAAAGGCCCTGTTCTCATGTTGCCACCCTCCGCACCTCTCATGGGGAGGTCAAATGAAGAAGGGCCTCATAGGATGATTGCAGAGTCTGGGTCAGTTCATATGTTGAGAGGCAGTGCTTAAAAGTTCAACTTTCTGACAGTGAGAGCGGTTTGACAGTGGAACAGAAGGTGGTGAGCTCTCCTTCCTTGGGATTTTTAAAGTAGAGGTTGGGCGGACATCTGTCAAAGATTCTTTAGTTGCGATTCTTGTACTGGAGGGGCTCGGGCTAGATGACCAACTCAATGGTTCCATGAGAGTCATAATACACTTTTAACTGGGATGGTTTTGCAATCTGCCCTGGAACCATTTGATTCAGGGAGAGGCCTCGAAGCAGAAATAATAAACATATCGGCGACCCGCCTGCCACGTATGTCTGGGCACCAGGTGCCCATCAATCCGTCGTGTCGCTAGTGCTTGTCGAGGAAGGAACACCCGCTTGTCTTTTATTAAAAAGCTGCCTTTCAATTCTCTCCCGCCCACTCGCCTGCCTTCAAAGGACTGGTGTTCTTGACATCCGGTACAAAAAAAACCAAGACATGGGTAAAGCAGAAACGGCTGGCTAAGATTAGTTGCCGTGGGGCCTCTGCTGGGAGACAACCCCTTAACCCTCTCCTGGTGCGATGCTGCGATGCTGCGATGCGTTTGTGTTGAAAGGGACAAAGTATCGGCTGATAAGGGTTAAGGATGAGAGTCATTCTCCTCTGCAAATAATTCTGCCATATCTTTGCACAGAGCTTTTGACCAGCCGAATTCAATCACCCATGAGGCAGATGCACAGAGATTTGCCCATATTCAGAGGAGGGTGCCCGTCGCACCCCTGCGCGGGGCCCACTGCCTTCCAGTGAGAAGGCACACCTGTGACAGATGCAGAGCAGGCTTCTCCAAAAGGAGGCTGGTGATTTTTTTTAGCCCTCCTCGAAAAGCAAAGTCCTATGCGGCCTAGGACCCTCATACCTACGGGACCGCCTCTCCTGGTATGTCCCACGGAGGACCTTACGGTCTTCAAACAAAAACATCTTGGAGGTCCCGGGCCACAGGGAGGTTAGGCTGGCCTCAACCAGAGCCAGGGCCTTTTCAGCCGTGGCCCCAATCTAGTGGAACGCTCCGTCACAAGAAACTAGGGCCCTGCGGGACTTGACATCTTTCAGCAGGGCCTGCAAGACAGAGCTGTTCCACCAGGCCTTTGGCCAAGGCACAGCCTGACCCCCTCCTTTGGTAATCCTCACAGAACTCTAGCCCAATGGTTAACATTAATCTGATTTGATTTGATTTTAGAATGATTGATTTTAGAATGCTGTGTTACTTTTATTGTTGTTAGCCGCTCTGAGCCCGGTTTCTGCTGGGGAGGGCGGGATATAAATAAAATTTTATTATTTATTATTATTTTATCAGGCAGAAGAGCAAGATGTGCCTTGAAGCTTCAGGCAGTGGTCGAAACCGAAACCCCAAAGTTCTTTGACTAAAGCAAAAAGATAGATGGGTCAAAGAAAGGCTCTGGAGGGGGGTGTTATGGGGAAGGGGGAGGTTGTCACAGCTTCCCTACTGGGGGTTACAGAAGTCAGGAAACAGCAGCGAAGCCAAGATAGGACTAGGAGGGGTCGAAAGAGACTCCCTCGAAGCCCGTTAGAAACCGCAGCGTTTGAGAGATACCAACCTCCCGTCTGACTCATCTCGGTCAGACACAAGCCAGCTTGAGAGGAGGCAAATTTTCGACTGAATGATTTTTCTGTAAGTTATTTGACGTCCCTGGTTGAAAGTGTGATTATAAAGAACAGGGAAAAAAGAATAATAATAAAGGGGGGGAAGGTGGCAAAGGAAGCCAATAGATGGAGAGGATGGTTGACGGAGATGAAGATTCGTGAAACACATTGATGGGGAACCCAAGCAGGTGCCAGGGAGCCCGGTGGATTCCCTGCTCTCCGCACCCCCACCCCGCAATACACACACCCAGTGCTATTTTTCTAGAAAAAGGGGTGCTGGAACTCATCTTGAACCCCTCACTCGTTCTCTTAGAATGGCAATGGTGCTCTTGAGAGGTGCCAGAACTGAGTTCCTGTGAGTTCCCCCTGGGGGGAAAAACCTGTGGTGTGCAGTGAGCAAATCCAGCCGGGGAGGGGGAGGATTTCACCAGCCTGGATCTCAGGGCTTCGGCCCCGCAGAAAAGGCCCCGTGATGCTACAATTGAAAAATGTTAACGAACTAGGCCACCGCAGGCATTTGACAGGTAATCGATATGCAATCAGCACTGCCGACACCCAGCAGGAAAATAGTTTCCTTAGCATGAGACAGAGAGAGATGGGAGAAGAATGGCTGGGGTTTTCTAATAGGGAAAGCTGCAGCCCATGAAGCACTCCCTGAC